AGAGTTGCATGTTTCCTTTAACCAATTGTGGCCTCTATAATACAAAACAACATTAAAAAAAAAAAAACCTAGATCAGGCTCATGAAAATTGGGGTAAAATAGATCATGTTCATTTTCAAGAACCAAAAATCCCAATGGCAAAAGCTAGATATATGGTTTTCTAACTCCTAAAATAAGTAACCTTTGAACTTGAAGAGTGAACAACTTACAACACACAAGCTCAGTACACGCCTGTGCTGAAATTTAACTTTAAATAGAAGAATAAGTTTGGCAAGGATCACACTACTGATCATTCAGTCAAGGTGGCTCTAATACCATATCAAGGATATATTGTCCAATAAATTAGGTCTTAAGCTTTTCAGTTTTAATACTTAATGATTGTCACGAGATTTTACACAGATAAACCCAATGGACATAAGTAACTGCCACATGATAACCTATTTACTATAACAGGCACCAGAGATATACCTCAGGGGAACCGGGAGCAATACCAATCAAAACCAACCATTTTTCTGTTGGGTCACATCGATAATTAATTATTTGATTGTTTGCCAAATTTGCTGTTCTCTCAAACATCTTTACAGGTTCAGAGTCACCTACAAGTTACATATATTGAACAATATGCAGATGAGCCACAATAACAGTGAACAATAATGCACAAACTGGAGAACATAGCACAGAACCACATAGTTAAGAAGAATTGCAGTTTATCATTTTCTCACCTTCAATTGACCAATGGTATACAGAGGTCTGGGTCACAATACCCAACAATTTGGGGGTAATCCACTTCCAAAATACCACCTGCACATGAAATAAGAGCATTCCACAAGGATTGGCAATGTTTTCCTTATTAATCATCATTTAAACAATGCTTGTATGCTTGTATATAAGACATGACAGTTACCTGCTCAGGCATCTGATGAGATTTCATCTTTGCTTTCATTTCAATGTTAAATATTTGTAGGTGATCCTGAGTTGTTCCTTGGAGTTGAGCTTCAAGAGAAGTATGTAGCTTATAAGGGAATATAATCCAAAAGCAAATACTAGTTTAGGTGCAACACCAACAGAAGCATATGGCATAATCAAATAAACCTTGCATTTTCTCACAATAGGCCATTTAACAGACTATCTTCTTTTTGCTTGGGGCTTTTTTTTTTTTCAAAACAAAACCAATATCAAGTTTGTCAAATGATGATAACATAAATAATATACATCATCACAACATTTAATAGGCTTGTGAATGTCAGAACAATAAAGCATGGAGAAAAACACCCATCAGGTTCACAGCATTACAAACAATGAAGCTCATCTTCAAGAAACTTTAGAAGAATAAAGTCATAGTCCATAGGTTATCCCATGAAGTATTACTTCCCCTTCCTAGCAGTAATCTAATATAAAAGTCTTATCCTATTACCCTAGCATGGGAGAGCAAAAACAAAAGTACGGCAGCTTTCTTCTCTCAGAATAATTATATCATTTAGACATGCACAAACACTTGACAACTAGTAAGTAGAACCAATGTTTCAGAAGCAACTAGGGACCATAAAACCAAAATGAGCTCAGGCCGAGTCTTGTTCAACTAAGTCATACTGCCATGCATGAAGTAGAATTGTACATACACGTTCCTAGTCAAACTAGTTGAAACTAAGCAGTTTCTTTCATACAATAATAATCGTGATAATGATTATTGCATCAATGGCTAAAAAAATACGGAACTTAAGCTTCCTCTCTCCTAAACGTAAATACAGAAAGAATTTAAGCTCCCATAATCATGATATCTACAACGACCAAAAAATAAATAAAAGATCAAATCAAAACCAAAATGCCACTAGTTAGATTATCCACATCAATACTAGCTACAAACATATCTCACAAGTTCAAGAGAAGAATAACAAACGAATAGTAACTACCTTTCAAGGCAAGGATTCTAGAATTCGGATTCATAAGAGCAGAATCTGCAGTAATAGGCCTCCTCAAAGGTTGATTCGGCATGTTCATATCAATGATAACCACACTATTCTGCGGAGCCGTTTCTCGAACGCATATATACTTATCGGACTCCATCGTCACGTGCGTGAAAGTGATGAACTGCGGATTTATGCCAATGCTTGGCAACTGCAACCACAAGTCACACAACACGAATCACATCAATCGATTCAAAACACACAAGCAACAACTTCACCCCCGAATTTATAAGTTCTAACTATACAGTTCAGACACAAAACAAGAAACACCCAGATCTGTGACGGTAAGAAAGCAAAGCAGCGCAGCGAACTCCATTACGCTACTGATCGAAGCCATCGCAAACTACTCGATTCGGAAAATCAAAATCGAACAAAGCATAACGGTAACTTGCAAAACCTCGGTAGTTATCAGTTATTATAAAGATGGCAAGTGTTGTTGTAGTTGAGTTGGGAAGTAGAGCTGCGAATTAAGCTAAGGAAATAGAGAGAGAAAAGTAAAGAGTGAGAAGAACTCACAGTGAGAGCTTCTCTCATGGCGATCGGAGCATTGGCGGCCGCCATGATGGCTCGGATCGAAGAGTGGGATCTGTGGCGGCGATTGAATTCGAAGCTGAAGAGTCAAAAGAGTGATCCAAATCGCTGCGAGATCTGGAAGCAACTTGGACCCTCTAAAGCGAAAAAGGAGAGAGAGATCTACGGGGGGGAAGAAAAAAGAAAGAGGTTCTGACACTAATAAAGCGGGGTGAGAAGAGAAAAAGAAAAAGAACAGAGTTCTCGTTAGCTAATTAGCTAATAAAGCAACATTAGCAAATTTACGAAAATACTAATTTTTTAAGAAAATCATCATTACACTAAATATCGTAATTAGATTTAGAGCCTAGCATGGCAGAGACGTGTAGTAGTTTTATAACAATTTTGTTAATTATGCTTAAAAATTTAATAATATTTTTTTATTAAAAATTATAAGTTTTAAGAACAACATTTTACTTCTATTTTTTAATCATTATTTTTAGGACAGTGTTTAATTATTAACATAACCGATTTGATAATCGCTTAGCTTTGATTTTACGAACGGCGGAACCGGGTAAGGATCTATCCATTTCTTTTTCTGTCGTTTTTCTATTTTTTTTTATGCAGACTTATTTATTTAAGAGTTTATAATTTAATCTAAACTTTTAATAAAAATACGTAATCTAAAATAATTTATATACATATATTTAATTGTTTAAAATTATTTCAAAATGTTTTTAAATAAAACGGATACTAAATTAATTAATAAATTTTCTCGTGTAGTTAGTTAATAAATAAAGATAAGGATAGTTCAACACAAATGTTATGGGCTTAATTTTTCCGTATTGATAACTGGTGGTTGTTTTATTGTATAAAAATGGCTTAATTCGTCGATGAATAACGCATTGTGGGAGAAATATTAATTGAACGATGTTTAATGCAGCTCTGTTTTACTTGAATGTCAAATGCTTATATCATTACATCATCTGGCATCAAACAATTGTTATTACTTAATTATACTTTGATGCATTAAAATTCTTCTGTAGCTAAATTCTAGTTCTATCACTTATAACATAACACGATCAATAAAAAAAGGTTTATTTGGTTTTTATTTTTAACAAAATATTTTCAATCAATTTTTTATAATGATAAAAAATTTAAATTTAAAACTTAAAAATCTATATTAATAAAAAAATACATTAATTTTAATAAAACAAATTTCGTGTTTTATCAAAAAGAAAAAACAACACAATAATATATTACCAATTTAATAATATTTTTACTTATTTACAAATTTGTGTTTACAGATCCTAAAATAATATTTAAATATAATTTATTTAATTTAACTATTGTTTGTTATAATGATAATATTTAAAGTTTATCTATATGAATAATTTTAACAACTAAATTATAGAATTTTGTTAAATTTAAATATTTTATTGATTTAAACTTTAAAATTTGGTTAAATAATTTATAATTTACAAGTAGAAAATAATACAATAATAACTAACTCATATTTGTATGAACTTAAAGTATATAATATAAAACATACTTTTTTTTTCAAAAATACATAAATGTAACCTATTTATTAATTAATTATTACACATGTATACAAAGTAATTATCATAATATAAAAATTATAATAGATACTTCATTTTTTAAATAAATAACTAATTTATTTTTTTAAAATGTTCACTTGTCATTTAGTCCTTCTAATTTTTGTGATATTAAATTCTTCAAAATATGAATAGTATAAAAGTAATCATTATTTTAATTCATAACAAGGTAAAACAACCACTTTGATATTATTTGAAAAATTGATGTAGTATCATCATCATGTCATAACCAAATTGTTGCTGAGCAACAAATTTATAAAGAAATCGGGTACTGTACTATTTACTTCTCAAATATACAAGAATTTACTTTTTAGAACATATAGCACTGTTTATAAAAACCGATTAAATACTATTATCTCCATTTAAATAGTTTTATCATTTTGTATAAACATTTGAAAAATTGTTATAAAATGAATAAATATTTTACTCAAGTGCTTGGCTTATTGAAAGCACATAAATGAAAACACAAATGCCTCATCCATTTAAAAGAACCATTTTAAATTCTTAAACGAGTTGAGAAAAGGTCATTTAATATTTTAAATTTCAAAATATTAAGATAATTTAATTAAAATAATTTTATGCTCAATAAATTAAAAAAATATATATATTGTTCACCATAAAAGAAGAGTGCGTCAAATAAACCAAAGTTCATGCTCCGGCCCTCTAGTCTCCTATGCTATATAAACGAACAAAAATAAATAAATATATTCTAGACAAAGTACGTACACCATTAAAAATTTTACCACCACAATATTCGCATCTTAGTAGTAGCTATTCCAGAACTATTTGAACGAAAATTGCCTACAGCCTTGTGTTTATTAGGCATAACTTACTGCTTCCGTATTTTCTAAAATTACCTTTTAAATACTTTTTCATAACATAAATCGAAGGGTTAGTTCAAAGCTTTTCAACTAAGTTTGAAGCTAAAATTTAATAAGCTCATTTAAGAGCTGCGTTGGGCAAGAGTTGTAGCAATTACCATGTAAACACACGAATGCAGCACCAAAAATAACACGCCTATCATTATCGAATGTTTTAACATGAAGGCAAAACGCTAAAACCATAAAAATTCATTCAGCAAAACAACAAGATGAAAATTTGTATCCAGCTATTAAGATAATCAACGTATTAAGCGCGATCACAAATTCAAGAAAAAAAGAAATCCCTCAAAAGACACGATAAGATTTCCCCATGGTACTCTTCAGATACAAGCACCTAACCTGAAATCACCAGCAATTTCATATTAGATTATGACTGGTTAACACCAGATTTAATTTTCCAAGGATAGGAAAGATAAGAAAATTCACACGCAGGAATATGAAGGAATAATCCAATCAAAATAGGGTGAGAAATTGCATATCAGATACTGCCCACATTTATTCCCGAAGTTAGCAAGGTAACAAAATTCAACAAAGATGCCAATTAAAACAGCATTTGCCAAGCTTCCATTCCTTGATATGTGGTCACATTTTGTGAAGTTAAGTTAGAGCCATACAAGGAATGGAAATAGGGCACACTCGACTGGCTTATGGTAAAAAGCCCAAGGAGAGACGGACAAAAAGAGGCAGAGGATCATCCACATAATATAACAAGAAAATAGAAACAATGTAATAAGCGTGGATTCATTCAGGTGCAAGTGATATTGAAGAATATTCGTATACCAGCCGAGTTCTCTAGTTATACCAATAACTATTCACAAATCAAACATGACAAGCAGAAACTGCTACAAGATATAACTTTAATAAAAAGCACACGATGATTTTACTAAGTATTATCATAGTGGACTACTCACATTTTGCCAGTTCTTCTTCAACAAGGAGACAAGGAAATTAACGCTCAATTGGACATTTTGGAAGATTTGTTTTTCCTCCATACTAACATTGCCCACTGCTACTCCCATGCAGAGCACCTTCTTGAGTTGAAATTTGACCATAGCCTTGGTCTCATTAACCTTAGACTCAAGAGATTCCTGGTGAGTAACAAGTGTAGGGAACTTCCCTGCAAAGTTATGCAACATATCAAAATCAACTAATTATCAAAAGAAACATATAACAAAACTATTCTTTTAGACAAGAATATTCATTATATGAGAGGGGAGGGGCAGAGTAGAACATGAACCAGAGGAATCAGGAAGCCAGTTAAGATTATCATGGAGGTCATATTTAATAACAATAGGTATATGCAGTACAAAAGCGGCCAGGCATTAATAAAGAGACTGCAACGCCTCATGTAAAAAAAATGATTCAAAACAAAAGCAAATCACCAAAATCTCTAGCAACGTTCCCAAAGTTCAAAATCCTAAATTGGAAAAAAAAAATACAACAATCAAAACGAGACGTGCCTGCCTTGTTGAGACCAGGACCCAAAAGACGAGGAATCTGCTTAATGACTGCTTCAGAAGCTAAAAAGGCATGGTATTTCTTGGCTAGTTTCTTCACTAACTTCTTATTCTTGTTAAGCTTCTTCAAGGCTTCAACATCCATGTAATCCAGTCCAATCTTTTCTGCCTGCAGATAGGTGCAAAATCATCAACACAACAAACTTGGCAACTGAACAATAATCATTTAAGACCACACGACATAAAAATCACAACAATCAAACCTACACAACTGGCATTCCCCTCTGGAATTGAGATTACAAAACTACTTTAAGAAAATGAAGCCGTGAAACAAAACGACACAGTTCGTCAAGCGATGCATAACGTTACAGTTGAAATAAACATATGCACCAACTTTCATCTAATCTTATCGCAAACTACATAATAAAAGAAGCTGTGCACGAGCACCCAATTGAAGACTAACAGAAGATAGATACCTCTTCAACGTGTTGAGCATCACCAAGCATGCAAATCTTCATCTTGGGGCGAGGAATGTGAGGCAACTTGACAGAGCCGCTAAAACGTTTGTCCTTTTGTGGATCGTAGTTTTTCAAACCAATTTGGAGTTCAATGGTCTCCACAAATTTACGATTCTTCTCTTTGGAATCAGCCATTATTCCTGAGATAGCTTCTCGCAAAGCATCACTCTGAAGCTTACTGCACAGTCAACAACCAAAAAGTTAAATAAAAAACACCGTTCAAACTACAAAGAACACCGTAGTTACCATAAGAAATGACGAATGGTAATGAATACATAACAAAACACATAAAGAAGCAGAGAAACCAATGAACAGAGAGAGGTAGAAGAAGAGAGCACACAAACCTCATCTTTTCAAATCGGTGGCTACAGATCTCACAGAACTGTAAACAAAATCGCAGAGAACAAGAAAACAGGAATTATTATTAGCGGAGTGAAATTAAAAAGGAGCAAATCCAATAGCAAAATATTCAGAGCAAAGGACATACCAAATGCAAAAACCCTAATTAGGGTTCGTTCGGCTGAAAGAAGTATATAGCATGGACCGATCGGAAATGAAATGGGCCGGGCCTAGTTTCCACAGAATTTAACAGCCTTCGAACAAATACCCTTAAATGATATTTAGTCCAATTGATAAAAAAATGATATTTTCTCCAAAAAAAAAAAATTTAATGTTTTAACCGTTGGTAACAATTAGTAAAACATTTTTGTTTTAATTTTAGTAAAATAGAAAGTTATATGTAACAGAAAGTTATCCTTTAAGTTTAAAGAGATAATTTATCACATTGTATGAAAATGTTTATTATCACTCCTTATTTAGCTTTTTTTAATTAAATATTATTATTATTATCAATTTATCAACCAATAAAAAATATTTTATAAATCCTAAATTAAAAATTTTAGAGTAACAATAAAGTCATCCCATTGTTAAACCAATAATGTTATATATTTATGAAAAAATAAACTCAATAATATTACGTTAAGATTAGTGACAGATATACAAGAGAGGACAAGATAGGGTTTGAGTCTCTCTTTTTTATATTTTATCTCTATGGCGCTATGCATATATATATATATATATATATAATATTATATTTGCTTGTTATATTACCACTTGTATGGCTTTCCTCATCTCAAAATACGAAACATTAATATTGACTCTAAAAAATAATAAAAAATTGACTATTTAAATACAATTTTTTTTGGTCCATTACCACTCAACAACATTACATTACTACATTAGTTCACTCTTTATCTTTTATATTGAGAGTTGAACTTAAAAGTTTTTCTAGTAAGCCAAGTAAAAATCTCATTTTTTATATTTTCTTTTAATTTCTATCCTTAGTATTTATCATATTTTAAGTTTTTTTCTAACTCCAAATAACAGTAACTCAACGAGACAGACAATAACGAGAGAAAGAAATAATTCTTCTTTTAAGTTCTTTTTTATTTTTCATTATTTTTTTTAATACAAGAATTAGTGATATACTAATATATTTTAAGTTTTATTATTAAATATTTTTTTTTCAGCTCTCTTTAAATAGTTTCTGGATCCGTCACTGGTTAAGATATTAATGCAAAAGAGGAAAGATTGAAATAACATATGTTATAGAAAAATAAATAAATAAATAAAATCCCACCTTCAAAGACATGTGGAAGCCCATACTAAAATTGATGGGGGATAGCTCGATTACAAGAGCTAGTGGAAAAATTGAGAAAATTTGTAAACAAAATCGTAAAAACGTTTTGAAAGTCAAAAGAATGTTTATAATTATGATTTATGATCAAATTATTACAGCATGGGAAAAGTTTTAGTTTAATCTCTTATCAGCTATATTTTATTACTCATAATAATTTTACTCAAATTGTTATATATACATAGTCTCTACCAAAAAAAATTATTACAACATTGTTTGATTTATGTAACTAATCCTACTTAATAATTAATGGTCTATTTGTTGCTTTTACGTATATTAAATTTAAGATATGTTCATATTCTTCTGTGTGCCCCGTGTTTGAGTCTGTTCAACTGTTTTGAAAATAAGAACAAATCGTGATGAGCTTTAGCTGCTATTGATGAGTCAATGAAGATTTATATTCAGGAATTCATAGAAAGGTTGGCCATTAGTTTTACGAAGCTTATCACTAACTTTTTGGTATCAGCTGGTGGTTATCTTTTAATATTGATAAGTAAATTTTTTTTTGGGCATAAAATAAATCAATCCATATATGAAAATATCGATGCATCAGAATCACATACAATGTATAATTGCTTTATTTTCCTTTCAAGGATTCATTGTACAATTAAGGGGTTTGTGTGCTTCCAACCTCAGCTAAATTGTATAAACCCAAAAAAAAAAAAAGAAAAAAAAATCAAAGAAGAAAAACAAAGGGGGCAAAAGCAATGCCCGAGTCCTAGATCTCAATCTACAAGAATAGAAAGCTAGAAATTGTCTCAAGAAAAATTACAACAACTTAGACAAAACTAACAAAAGCTGAGGTAAGAAGAGAAGAATTTATAACAATAATACACATATATAAAAAAAAGATGTGTGAATATATTTATAAGTTGTTGGTCAAGATTGAGAAATGATACGTGCATAAAGGAACTCATTCCATGTATCAGGTAACCCAGGTAGACACCAGTGGATACAATCAGCATAAGTACTTGGGTCAGCTTGTTGCTCTGGAGTTAACATCTTACCTTGACGTATGGTGTAAACAGATGTATGTGCATCTTTTCTTAACTCTGACAATGTTGTTATGTTAAGGAAGTTCACTGGGACCTTCATGGATTGTGTCACATTGTTGGCAATGACAAAAAGCCTTCGATCCGTGCCCACTTGTATGGTGGTGGAAATATTGAGAATTGGGGTGGTTTCCCTTGCACATTTTATTCCATTCGGGTTGTTCCAATCCTCACTCCTACAAAGTCATATATGGGAAAATTATAAAATGTTAAAATTTGTAATCTATTCATATAATAAACTATAAACTTATGCAACCAGAGGCATTATTAGTGGGTCACCGATTCACCAACCAATGATCTTATGTGATTATAAAAAGACAATTTTGATAACTCAATGGAGACCCAAAAAAGTGGGATTTAGTAACTTAGAATAACTAAAGGTGATGAAAAAGCAATAGCTAGAAATTAGATACTTGACCACAAAATTACTTTTTTATACATGTATAAAACAAAGAAAAGGCAGAAATTAAGTTGAAGATTTGAGCAATACTTAATATGAAGAGGGGACATGCTGGAGAAGAAAACTTTGGTGCGATTAGGATCAATGTTGTCATCCACCCATTTGGACCAAGTCTTGAGGACTCTCCCATATGCTATTGGTCGAGGGACTTCATCGTACTCCGTTGATCCTTCATCAAACGACCCTCGTCTTTTGCATGCACCCAAAAACATGACAAACACAAATAATTCAGATTCATGAATTTGCTACTTTGAAAGAGTAACGAATTGGAGCATAGTGATGATATCGTGCTTACAAGACTTTCATAGTGGCAGTATTCATCCACCATATGTAGGTGTTAAAAATCAAGTAGTCCACATTCCTCCAATTCACACTATGCTTTTCGATTGATTCAGGCATTATAATACGGTTCAATATGCTATGCATCGTTGGATCATCCGAATTTGACTCCACAAGGAATGGTGCCCAGTAGAACTCCACCGTAGCACTGTAATCCTGCACACATATAGCCCAATTGGATCATAAGCACGACACAACATTTCCTTAACTACCGGGTGATTGGCACAACATTCCAAAGCCATACTTGTAGACAAAGGCCAAAATCGAAAATAGGTGACTTACTTTTTAAATCGGTCATCATAAAATTAAGTGCCCCACCAATGACACATTGCATGATTCTCATTGCACTTTAGTCAATAAGAGTCATAATTAATTAAGAGGAACACTTTATTAGCACAGTGATTAATCATTATGTCAAATTATGTCGACAAAAATGGCCAGCCAAATCATTGATTAAAAAGTAATAAAAAAAATCACAAACCTCTATTGTGAAGATAGAAAGAGAACCAGTTCTGTGCAAGCTCTTTCTGCCTTGGGAGATAACTGATTGGACCAGACAAATCATTGATTCCCATTGGTTCCGATTCAATGAGTCTCCAACAAACATAAGCCTCTTCCCTCTAAGCTTCTCAAGCAAAAGTCTTGGTTTGAACCTTGATAAGTTTATACAGTTTAATCAATAACAACATTATCAAAGCTAAACAGAAAATTAAGAAAAGAAAATGGAACTACTAGCATGAATGGTTTCATGGTTAGGAATTCACGTTTGCAAGTTTTCTAACGTGTTTGAAACACACAATAAAAAGTGCTTACTTGGGCAAAGAGCAATCTCTGGGCTGCCATCTCCAGTTCTGATAAAGAGAATCACTTCTTCCATTCCTTATGCAAGTAACTTGGGCAGTGAGGAATTCACATTGGTCTTCTTTATACAAAGGATGAGTCGCTTCATCCAAAACCCACTCACCTGTGAACAAGTCACACTCTTCTGGAGGCAGCACAACCTCATCTTTTTCTTCCTCATTCTCCTCCGTTGCCACCAAAGTGGCTTTCAAATCAATAGGTTCTTGGGTTTCCTCAGACTCCTCAATCTGGTTCTTCTCTAGTTGAGTTCTTGAGGCCTTGGAAACTGTTACTGTGGCGTTGTCTTTCATGTTATTCATTTGAACAGAATTATCTGGTTCTTGTTTCCCTTCTTGGATTTCTTGAGCTTTAGGCCTCAAGAATGTGAGCTCAGCCATTGACTTAAGGTCCTCGTTGTACATGAAGACCCCAAAGAGGAACATGGAGAAGACCACCAAGAAAATGGAGATGCTATTGCTCTTTTTGCCTTTCATTGCTGTAGTTTCTGAGTTGGAAAGATTGTTCTTGCGGCGAAGAGGTTGCATGGGAGGGAGAAAGTGTGAATAATAACAGAAGGCTTTAGTTTGAGGCTGTTCAAGGTCAAGGAAGGGGGAGAAGGTGATAGAAATATAGAGAAAGAAATAAACAACATTGAGATAAAGAAACAAACGTTTTTGATTTATTTATATTTTGTACAATTCAGTATTAGGTTGTGTTTGTTTAATTGGTGTTTGGTGAAGGGGTGTTGTCTCTGAAGAAACTGGGACAGAGTAAGGTATTGGTGAAGTGAAGGAGAGTGGTCTTTCTCAAGTTATCAAGTTCTTTGTTTCTGTATTTTAATTGCTGTGATCCATTTGCAACCGCTTTCAATGTCTCTCTCTCTCTCTCTCTCCCTCCTTTTCAGATAATACATCAGAGAGAGAGAGGGAAGGAGAGGAGTGATCTCAAAGCCTTTCAGAGTTGGTCCTAGTCTGAATCAGTTGAAAGAGTACATGTGTGGTGGAGTTCAGGGACTTTGGTAGAAGCAATGTTATTGTCTTTCAGTTTCAGATTGCAAGGGTGTGTTTTGATTATTTTGATGGTCATACTGGTTTATTTTTCCTTCTTTTTAGTGGGTAGAGAGAGTGTTAAGTTGGGTTGTAATGTCCCCACCAACAGCAGAGTAGTATCTCTAGAGTCAATGTGGGTTACCGAATTTAAGATAAGGTCGAAATTAGTTATTTGTATATTCTTTAATAAACAGGGTAAGTATGTACTTTCCATTAATTAGATTAACTTAAACCATCATATAATGTTATCTCTTTTTATTTATCTTTCTGATATTAAGTAAAGGATTGATTATATATATATATATATATATATATATAAAAGCACATTCAATTCTTTCTTTATTTAGTCGAAGGAGAAGTAGGATGATATTGTAAGAGAATTCAAAATTTATATAACAATTCTTCTAAAGGCGTTAACATTTTTTTATATGTGATATGCAGATGCATGATGATTGTCCATAGGTGTATGTCATGTGAATTTCTAGGTCAAAGACTTTGAATATCACAACAAAACGATTTTTTTCCATTAGATGAGTCGAATATATGATTAAACGATAATTATAATGTTTTGTCGTGCATAAATCATACTAGTGTGGTGGGACAAATAAAAACACTCCACCAATAGTAAACTAAACTGGTATTAGATTAAATACAATAGTTAAACATTATCAAATTACTCATATCATGAAATAAAAAGATATGAGATAGCAACCTATTTGCCGGATCAATAAAGGACAGGAAGTTTGATTAGCAACAAAAATACTTCTGCTGAAAGGTTAAGATTGAAGGAATGTTTGTCAATTCATCCTTATTTTTAATTTCCAATTTTCAATAACTGTTAGAATCCTAAGAAAAAAAGAGGTTGATTCCACCTATAAAATGACTCAGTTTTATAGTTGCCGCTTTGCATCTTATGTCCACCTTTTTCTTCATGATTGCAAACAGTTTCTCACCTAAAGGAAACAATTAATGTTTTTATTAGGTCTACCTCTATCTAGGAAGGTCCCCTGCAGAAACCCTGAATAAGGCAGAAACAATTTGGATCGATTTGCTCAAACTCACCCACTCATCATGATCGAGAATATTTCATCTTTCTAGTTGGTGCAACTGTGTATAAGCTCCTTCCTTTCTTAGGAGCTGAAGCTTCTTTCGAGACAACTAGTCTATCACTGTTTAGACATTCAACTAGTTGTGTTTGACATAACATGAACCAAACCTAAATCACAATCTTTAGAGCTAATTAATCGGTAATGCTTTTTAAAAGCAATTCTTCAAATTATTTCTATCTTTATGTTGGAGGAAAGTAAAAGCTAAGGAATCCAAGTGTATTGAGTACATCAGCGACTTATTTATTGTTATGTACTTGCCAACTTCACTTCCATTGGGAGATGGTCTGATGGTAGGGACATGGCTTTTTTTCCAAGTTAAGGCAATATGGAAGAGAAGCTACAAAAAGGGGTAAGCTTCAAGAAAATATATTCATAAATATAAGAGTTCGTTTTTGATGCAAAGGCAAAACTGCTCAGAAGTCAGAACATCGGAGTCAGGTTCTCCTTAGTTCTTCCCAATTCTCCTTCCTCACCCTCATTATCACTCTTTCAATCTATTTTCACCATCTGATCAACTTTCAGATGTATGCATCATGGCAGCTGAGTGGCAACTTCACTGTGTAAAAGCCAAATATGAGTGATCGGAAATGTAAAAGGATTAACAACCCCCTAGAAAAATAGCTTCCGATCTTATCTAACACATAAACAAGGAATATATGTAGGGGTGGGAAAGGAGCCCTAATGATTAAATTAATGAAGTCCAACAGTGAAAGGCTGTGGATTAGGTACTACCATAGGATGAGCCATGACTCGTGTAACACGTCCACTGGTTTTTGTTTTTTGGCACAAAAGGAAAAGAAACAAGAACTAAAACAGGTCCTACTTCTCCTAACACCAGTGTCCAGCCATATCAGTCTGCAGTTTGATGAATTGATGTAGTTCAACCACTCAAGATTCATGAGTTAATCATTGCTGGGAGATGTTCTTATACCTTCCAAAACAACCATGTATGTGCCAATTACTAATCAACAATACAATATGTAGTTTTCTATTGAACTCCAGAGAACCCAAATTATTGTTGCGCAGGTATTTGGCATTCTAAATCCACAGAGATGTGTTTGTTTAGTCGCACTAGAGTTTTCGTTGTGTTAAACTCTCAAAACAAAAACCATTGAAGTACTGAACTGAATTAGAACGTTACTTTAAACCAAGAAGAGTAGAACTGCAATGACGTTGTATGTAAACATAAGCGAGAAAAATATGTCTAGACAAACAACCAATTATTTAGAAAAGTATAATAAAGGAAAAGCAATTTCTTTTATTCGTATTCGCATTAATTAAATAAAGATTGTGTCCATGTACTCCAACCAACCATTACAATACTCCCATGCCTAGAAAACAGCTCCTACCAAGGAAGAACTTCATTCAGGGATACAATTGGATTTGAAAACAAAATTGTAACGACATCATGAGGATATTTCCCAATCACAACATTTCCTTTCTTGAGGTTTATAATAGTTTAAGGTGCATCAATACAGAACAGAATGCACTGCATTCATAAAGGAAGCTATTCTAGATTGATCTTTCTGGATGCCATCTGATGCACAAATGCCACTGCTGACATCCACTCCTTCAGGTTTTAGAGTAGACACAGCCTCAGAAACATTCTCAGGATTGATTCCTCCTGCTAAGAGCCAACCATGCTTGCTTCTAATTTTTGGTGGTTTAAACTGGGCCCAATCAAATGCTTTACCGCTGTAAAGACGCCTCATGAGTTCTATGATATTAAGATGCAGGAAAAAGAAAATCATCTGACAAGCAGATGGACACTGAGCTATACAAGAAATGTGCCTTTACCTGCCACCCTTTGCACTATCTACAAGAACCCAATCAACTAGAGAACACTCTTCATCAGAAATTGTATTTAAAAGGTTCCCATCCTCATTTGCATGGAGAACATATATTACACGATTTTCCTGAATTATAGATGGAAAAGCTAACCGAGAACCATATCCATGAAGCTGCATTACCCAAAGATTAAGAGATCAAGGATTTAATTGTCATGGAACACTGATGAACCTCAGGCAAAATTATACCTGCACAAATTCAAGGTTTGATGCATCAGAAGCTCTTAGTATTGTTTCCGAATCATCATCCACAAATACTCCCACAGGCTTTGCTCCATAATCTCTTGCAACTTTAGATATCTCCTTTGCAACAGGAAGTGAAACAGAACGTTTTGAATTAGGCCACATGATCATTCCAATAAAATTTGCACCAGCTTCAGCTGCCATAGCAGCATCTTTAGCAGATGTAATGCCACACATCTTAACCAAAGGTTGACTCTTTTGAAGTGCCTTCGACAAGCATGAATCACTTCCCAAGTCAGTAAATTTGCAGGAAACTTTATACTTCAGACAGAATCTTACGCTGGATAATTGCAACTTCTCTCCTCTCAATCCTACAGAAATCATGTGTTAGAACATTTGAATATTGACTCAATTATGATTTATGACCTAGTCCCCTTGCATACTCGATGCAAGCAAAGACATGAAATGAAATAAAGTCTGCATGAGAAATAAGAGCTAGTTGGGTTTCAAGAAATCTTAAGACATATACCAGAAGAAGAGCAATATACTCAATTAACAAAGAATCAGACTACCAGGAATTGGTCCTTTGTAGAGAATTGGGGCTCTACGGTGCAAGTAATTCCCAGTGGTTGAACCTGTACAAAAAGAGCAACATATCTTGCAAGGTCAGTTGAATAAAATAAACGCATGGCAGGGTTTAACATAAGTACGTGGAAAATCCATTGTCGCTGATGATAACTTGAAATGCTAGATAGATATATGCATTCAAGACAAATTTGAGAAATATATAGAAATGAAACAGCTCTATCATTATTGTCAAGAAACTAAGCATTTACAACAAACCAAGTTTGCGTATTTTTCACAAATGTAACAGCAACAGCCCAGCCCCCTCCCACTAGATAGGATCAGCAATATGGATCAAATGACATCATAATTTTCTTTTGAAAATAATGGCTATCAATAATAAACCGTTAACCACAAAATCCTTCATTATGGTTTTCCTAACAGTTTTCCTCAATCTTTGTCTATCTCTAACAGCAGGGTTACCCTCCTTGTTGGGCTTTTACAAGACTTGTACTACAGATCTACAGGGGCTACACTTCTTCAATGACTGGAACATTACTAACATGTATATAAAAGAAAATCGTACATCGATGAATTGACATCAGAGACTCGATATATAAGGAAAACTATGTCACTATAAACAGCAATTTTCTCGATAAAACCGAATATAAGAAACTTGGAAAATTTGCAATCCCTAAAATCATTAGCAACACAACCTTATGCAATGTATGCAGTACCAACCCTATAAAAAAATAGTTAAAACAAGACTCTACAAGTTTACAAACACAAAAGCTACTGTTTTGGGTTCTCTCATCAAACTAACAAAACAATGAGATCGATTGGGCAATGCTTCCCCAGTAAGGCGAGGACAGAATTTCTCTTAATTTTTCAAAAACAGTTTGCTCTATCAAATATTGATTTTACGAATTTGGACAAAAGGTAAACCATAATAAATTATAGATCAAAGTAAATTTTTACATATAAAATAAAAAGAAATGGTGAATATGACAAAATCAATTCAGCTAGGAAATTCATCAAACAATGGATTGCAAGTGCACCAAGTAACAAACCCTGAAGCGAAAGTAACATGAAAAGAGTGAAAAGAGAAACCTGAAAGCATATTGTCACTTTGGAACGGTGAAAAACCGTCGCTGTTGTGTTTTCCGGTCAAGGGAAGAAAAGCAGACACTGAAGAGAAACACAGCGCAACAACTAAACGACTGTGTATTTTGGAGAAAAAAAGTGTGCTCTCTCTTTTTCTTCTCTTTTCATAGTATAAATTAATTTTGTTCTCTTGTTAACTACACAACAAATGTTAAATAATTTTTTTTATAAAAAAATACATAATTATTATATATTATATTAAAATTATAAAAATATAATAAATATTTTTTAATAAAATTTTATTATTATTAATTATTTACTTTAATTTTGAAGACTGACATTAATAAAATTTTAAAAATAATGGCATATTAATATAATGTAATAAACCATTCTTTTGTTAGCTTTCCCTTACAATGTAACTTATTTTCTGCATGACAATTTCAGAACAAATACTTATTGATACTGACAAGTAAAAATATAAGTAACTTAATTAATAAAAAAGGAAAAAATTATATAATATATACTTTCTAGTAAAAGTATTCAGCTTTTATTTCCTTAAGAAATTATGTTAGCAAAATTAATAATTTTTTAAAAAAGGTGAATAGTTTAAATATTTAAAGTGCATAAATTGTTGACACAGAAAGTTCAAGAAATAGTTTGATGAAGCCATGAAGGTTTGGATTGAACATAAATTTCTATTTCGTTATCCAAATAAAAGGATAACTTTTTCTCAGATTCACGGGACTCGAAGTCCAATTCAAGTTGAGTTTGATAACCCATCCCAAAATGATCAATTAAACACTAAGCAAACATTGCAGTGATGCTAAGTCCATTATGAAAACTTGGTTCCCATATTTTGGTCTAAAATACTAACAGACCCAAAACAAACATAACGCTACAATCAATGGATTTTTATTTTTAGGTTAACCAAATGATAAGAAATAAATAATTCAAATTATGTAGAAAGCAATAACTCTTATTTGTTGACATTATTGTAGGCCTACTAAGGCTGGGCCTTGGCTTTGTTGCTTCTCAATTCTCATCTCTCAATTTTATACTAATTATTCGATGACAAAAAAAAAAAACAATTTTTCTTTCTCTTACACCAATGATTCCTAGGGAAACTTTTAAACTAATTTCCTTTTTTTCTTATTTCGTTATCTCTTGTAATTTTTTTAAACGAGTTTGTTTTTAAAGTAAACAAAAAGTTATTTTCTTATTAAATTTGAATAAATTAATATTATACCAGACTTTAAACTGCACAAAATAAAATTGCACCTTTACTTATTTTAAAACAGTGTCACTTTGGATTATACTCTTACTCTTTTAGCCCAAAATTATAAATGTTAGATCCAAACAGCCCCCACTAAATTTTGGCAGCCAAACAACGAAATGTGTAAAGTTTAGGTGCAGAAATTGAATTCGACCGATTTTATATCACACAAAATGTGTGTGTTTTTTTTAAGTGTTGTAAGTATTATTTATTAATTTAAAATATTTTTATTTTAAATAAAACATTACATATTATTACGTATTATATGGTCAGAGAAATTTTATTGTCTATAATGATTTTATTTGACTTAACACGATTACTTGTGATGTAAAATTGTTGTAGAATAGATTAAAAAGTAATTTTTTATTTTAATTAATAAATAATATTTTTTTTAAATTGCTTAAACTTTATCCTTCTCATACCTCGTCACGACAAAATCAGATCAGCGAGCAATTTTATACCGAACAACTTTATATCCTCGGAAAGACAAAATTAGGGCAGCCAAACAACAAGTTGTGTCAAGTTTGGGTGCAGAAATTGGAAGGGCAACAATTATTGGTTCGGTTTCTTCGAGAAAGTTTAAATAATTATCATTTAAAAAATAATTTATTTACAAGTAATTAATTTATAAAATAAGTATATTTATTAAAAAAGCTATAAGAATAAATATATCCCCTATTTCGTATTTTGAAGTGTCTCCCACTTTGGAAATGTTTTGTGGAACAATGACTTGTCGTGTTAAGGATGCAAGAAGATTTATTTGGGATTCCACCCAAAGCTTTCGTGCAAAAGTACTGAAAAAATTATTAAAATGTCTCATATTAGATAAAAAAATAGAGTCAGAATAATTTTTTTTTATAAGTTAGCATTTAAAAATAAGTTAAGCTTAAATTTTTTTAATATAGTATTAGAGTCTATTTGTCCAGTCCTATTATGTCCATCCATGCAGATGTGAAGTCCTAAATATGAAAAAAAGTGTGTTAAAATATTTTATATTGATTAAAAATAGAGTCAGAATATTTCTTATAAAAGTTAAGACAACTCTCCACTTATAAGCTAGTATTTGAGAGTGAGTGAAGTTGAAATTTCTTAACACAAATCACACATTTATAAATTTTAAAATATTAATAATCATTTAATTAAAATTGTTTTGAAGGCTAATAAGAAAGGTACCTAATATGAAATTGCCGAATTCTTTGGCACAACTCAAATCCAAACTGAAACTTGGTTTAAGATATGAAGACGAAAAAATATTTGTGGCATAAAATTATGGAAGGTGACCTTTTTCTTGGGGGGGTCCAACGATGGAAAGCATCGAAACGAAGCAAAATAACATTTTGTTGGCTAAGGAATAAGGGCCCAGTCCTTTTCACCTGCTGCATCACTCACTGTAGTGCACCACATTTAAATTAAGTTTCGGCAATGTGGCCTGTCACTTTTTTTTCTTTTAGAAATTATTGTGTGGTGATTTGGCCACTCACGTTTTTATACATGTTTTAAAAAAAAAATATCATGAGTCATGTTATTATTAGTCGGAACTATCATAAAATATAGATTATATAAATATTTATTAAATACTAAAAAATAAAATAAAATAAATTAAGTTAAAACTTATCAGTTCTATTGCATTTGTTAAGGGGAATTTTTTAATTTTGTAAAAATAATAATAATGATGGCTTATTTTAAAGAAAAAATTAAATTACAATGATCAATATCAATTGATTTTAGATAAAATTAGTATTTTTATCGATAAAATTCATTTTTATTTTTTATTTTTTAATTATTTTTATTCTTAAACTTTTTATATTAATTATTTTTATTAACTTTGTGACATAAACAGAAATATCTTAAATGATAATAGAATAATTTTAACGTTGTTTATTTAATTTAATTTAAATTTTTTATTTAAAAAATAATAATTTTTTCCTTTTTTTTCTTTTTTTGTAATTCTGGTACTTTTTTTTTCTTTAACCCATCAACTTTTTCTTGTTCTTCTTATTTCTCTTTTAACTCCCATAGGTATTTTTTCTCTAATCTCATTCTCTTTCTCTCAGAAGATAAGTTATAACTGAATTGAATTATCCAAAAAGAATAAGAAATAAAAAAATAAATATTAACTTCAAATAATTACTGCATGACATAATTTTCTGAATTTAATGCTTGAAAACTAAATGCAGAGAAGCCAAGAGACAAGCTAGTAAAAATCATCAACATAAGTAGTAAAAATTAATTTAATTCAAGTTAAGCGTATATATTTTATTAATTTAAAAATATATAATAATTTATTTCCTAAGATAATCTCTATAAAGTCTTGAATTTGTTTTAAATTTATTGTACTTTAAAAAAATTCTTTTCCAATATCTTTAAATAATATATAAAAAATTTCTTTAGAAAAAAAGGAACATGGTTTTAAAATTGTAAGAACTTTTGGATATATAATTATAGTAAAAACCTATTAATTAATTATTTAATTATGAATTTATAAGATGGTGATGGATTATAGGGGTGAGGTCCCAATCAGGGGAGGCGTCGTCCTAAATCACATGCCGATATGCCGTTAGTGTTTAACTACGGATCACAATCCTATGCACCCCACTCCTAAACTTTACTGACAAATGTTGACCCACATTCATTATATATATATATATAATTTATGAATTATATTTAGAAAAATTTATGAAATACGTCAGTGTTTATGTTAAGAAGAAGTTATTTAATTAACAAAACTTAAATGATTGAGAAGACATTATTAATTTTTATATAATAAAATTAATAATTTATTTTAAAAAATATTTATATTTTTTTTAGTTTTTATAATACTAGAAAAATCATAGCATTCGTTAATTATAAAAATTTATAATATCTTTTTAAATTTATGAATATTTAAATAAAATTTATTTTAAAAATTATTTTTAAACTAAATTGATCTCGAAAAATTTTGTTTCACATTTAAAAACATATAAATTAGTTTTAATAATTTTTTAAGAATAATTTGGTTAAAAAATGATTTCTTACAAAATTATTTTATAAAATAAAAATTATATACATAATTTCAGATAACACTTTATAAAAGTACTTTTCTTAAGTTAAATGAGCATTTTAATAGAGGAATTAATTTATTTTACAAAAAACAAATGACGACTCTTATATTTTTCAATAATTAAATTAAGTTTAGTAAACTTTTTCAAAAACTAATTTAGATATTTTCTCTCTATCTCAAACTAAAATTTTAAATTAAAACGCGTTAAAAAAATTGAACCCTTTTAAATTATAACTATTAAAGTACTATTCCGTTCGATTTATTTAAGTCCCATCAATTAAATTCTAAAAAAAAGATAAATTTAATTTTTAAAATTTTGTTAAATTCAACCTTTAACTTCAAACATTCATAAATATAAATTTTTATGTAACAAGTACACATTTATCATATTAAAATTATAAAAATATAACATATTTTTTTAAATTGTATTTGTTTTCACATTGATAAAAGAAGTTATCAATAAAGCAATTACGTAAAAATAATTTTTTTCCTTAATAAAATTTTATTATTTATATTTTAAAAACTGAGATACACTCTCTAAACTGGGTTTTAGTCATGGAAGGAATAAACACTTAATTTGTTAAGAACTTAAATTTGAAATAGACTGGTCAAAAGTCAAAACAAGCTATTCACATGACTTAGACTTTAAATTAAATTTTATAAAATCCATGTTTTATTAAGATCATAAAATAAAAATTTAAATTTAGCTTGAACTCATATTTTATACTAAAATATACCGAATTCACTTAAATTTAATTGTAGCAAAGCTGAATTAAGTGAAAAAGGTTAAAAATAATTTAAAGTTTAAACTTTAAATTTTAACACGTGTAATCTAAGTATCTAATTAAAGCAAAGTTCAAGTAAATTAAGAAAAAAATTAAAAAATTTAAACTTAAAATTTAAACGTGGTTAATCTGAGAGTAATTTCAATTGTCAGCCCGTTTTAATAGTTGTATGTTGAGGTCTATTTAATGGTGTCTTTGTTTTGAAAGTGAGGGTAAAGTTTTGAATTTAAATTACGTGAATTAGGAGATAATATATCCCCTCTAATGGAGTTCATCTGAATCAAACTTGATCAAGTTAGAAATGAAAACAATAATCAGACAACTAGAAAACCTGGGCAGTTCACATGATGGAGCACTACATACGACGACAACCCTGTCCCATGGTGGTTATTGAATTTATTTTAAATCTAAAGGATAGTTTAATGACAAATTAAGAATTGTTAAATATATGTATTTATTTTCCATCAACGTCATAGGAAACATCACAAATCACTCTAGCCCCACACCTTTTGCAAAAAATAAAACCCACTAAATTGTCTCTCGTGTTTGTGTCTCTATATATTAGGATGGGGATTAACTTTCACAGCATTCACACCTTTAAAAACCCACAAATTCCACGTTTTATTTACGTCCATTTCACTGTTCATGCCTCCATGGTCCTACCTTCATTTAACTTGCACCATATCTCATCCCCACACACATCCACCTCTTTCCTCAGCGGAAAATCCAAGCATTTGAATAAAATATAAAATCAATAAACCTGGTTTCATTTCATACTTGGCTATTTGTTCATATATAGATGAGCCATATTTACCCAATTAAACAAGCCCATAGTAGCAAGAGCAACCACAACAATGTCCAATAACCAACATGATTGGCCCGAGCCCATAGTCCGGGTTCAGTCCTTATCCCAAAGTTGCATAGATTCCATTCCTGAAAGATATATCAAACCCTCTACCGATAGGCCATCCATAAGCTCCTGTAATTTTGATGATGCCAACATACCAATCATCGATCTTGGAGGTCTATATGGTACTGACCCACATGCCCGAACCTCAATCCATAGGCAAATTTCCGAAGCTTGCAAAGAGTGGGGTTTTTTCCAAATCATAAACCATGGTGTTAGCCCCGATTTGATGGACAAGGCTAGGGAAACTTGGCGCCAATTTTTTCACTTGCCCATGGAAGTGAAGCAACAATATGCAAACTCCCCAAAAACTTATGAAGGTTATGGAAGCAGACTTGGAGTTGAGAAAGGTGCTATTCTTGATTGGAGTGATTATTACTATCTTCACTATCTTCCCTTGTCACTCAAGGACTACAACAAATGGCCTTCTTTCCCTCCCTCTTCCAGGTTTAATTAATTCTATTTTTAATTAACAACAGTAATAATAACTTGTTTACCATTTTTATAATATATAGTATATATTATAACATATGTTGGTTAATAATTGTTGTAGGGAAGTGTTTGATGAGTATGGGAGAGAGGTGGTGAAGCTAGGGGGGAGGTTGATGAAGGTTTTGTCCATAAACCTTGGATTGGATGAGGAAGTTCTCCAAAATTGTTTTGGGGGTGAAGACATAGGAGCATGTCTAAGAGTGAATTTTTACCCAAAGTGTCCTAAGCCAGAGTTAACGTTGGGTTTGTCATCACACTCAGACCCAGGAGGCATGACTATGTTGCTCCCGGATGATCAAGTTCCTGGTCTTCAAGTTCGCAAACACGATCATTGGATTACTGTAAAACCTGCTCGCCACGCCTTCATCGTCAACATCGGTGACCAAATTCAGGTCAATATTAATCTCTCTCTCTCTCTCTCTCTCTCTCTCTCACACACACACACACACACACACACACACACACAGTTATCCCTTTGCATAGAATGCTTGGCCACCATTAATTCATCATATATGAATCTTTCCACGTGGGGTGGGACACGTGTGAAGTTTAATTCATATCTGAGTAAAATATCAATATCAATATCAATTTAGGTCTATAACAAATTTAGTTTAACTTTTATGAACGTAAATTAATTTCATCAATCAATTTAATCTCTAGAAATATTATTATATTAGTCAATTTTAATCTTAATTTTGACAACATTAGAACAATTTCATTAGTGCAATAATCTTGAGTTGCATAATTTTGTCTCATTTATAATCTGTAAATATATACTGGTTTTTTTCTTCAGAAAAATATTAACCTCAGTATTAAAGCTGAGAAAATTTACTATTTATAAGTGTTTAATATTAGTCATAAAATGAGGTTAACAAAAATGTTTCTTTAATGTACAAAGATTGTTTACAAAAATTACTCTCTTTCACACTCTCGTTTCATTGCTTTCTAATTATGCAAATTGTCTAGAGTCATTCCTTAATTAGAAACTAAATTAATACACAGTAAAATTTAAAATTAAAATGATTAATAATTATTAAAATTTAATATTATAGACTCTAACGTCCAGAATTGAAATGCTGAATAATTATCAATTGGGAAATGCCAAATGGTATGGGTTTGTTTTTCACAAAATCTGTATTTCAACACTTGTTATGGTTTTCCGTCAAAGCCTTTGCTCTTTATTTATTGTTTAACCAATGGTATTAAATTACGTTCGGTTCGAAACTATTTACACAAATAAATTTCGTACAATCTAACAAAATTTTATGATTTATTAGCAAATATGATTTTAAAGACTAATTAAATCTTCTTATTGCTTATGCTTATTTATGTGTCCAACATTTGAGTGAAGGTACTTTCCAATAGTATTATTAATTTCACTTTTAAATTTGTACCACTTGCATCAGAATATTTTACAGCGCCAGATTAAGACTGGTTCAGTATTAGGAGATGTATGACATTAAAAAAAAAAGGTTCTTTCTGAAAATTAAGCGCACATATACACAAAATGGATAAACATTTGGTCAAAAGTTCAAGGATAAAGTCACGGGTTCTTGGCATGACATCATTGAATAAATCATTTTAGACTAGCTATAGATTAAACATTTAAAATGATAAAATACACACATAATTATATTACTAAATTATAAGATTTTAAACATTTAAGTAAAAGAAATAAAAGTCTGCATATGTAACTTTAAAACTAAATAATTGACAAACGTGGAATTGAGCCTCGTATACGTGTCGATCCTTTCTTGAACCCGTCTCAATTTTTAGTGACATATTACATACTCATCGTATGGAAGTAGAATAATCTTACCAATCGCATGCAATGTATTTTTATCTTTGACGATAGTGGAATTTTATTTTTCCACGATGACTTAAAATGTGGAATATTTCAGATTCGTAAAATGTGGAACATGTAAAAAGTGTAATTTAATCAATCTTATCTCATATCTTATCCTCTTTTCTCTTTCTGGCCTTTGTTGTGGTTCTTGTGAATTGTTTTGTTTTTTCATGGCACTTAGTAATGGGTCCTCTCGTCCACACACCCCCTCCTCCCGAAAAACAAAAAGAAGATTCAATGGAAAGATTTTAGTTCCGATAAGGCTAGGTTCTACATAGATGAATTAGATGAATCATTCTATTGCTTAGAATAAATTATCTTCTAACTAGAAAATATATAATAAGTTTGCTATGTATTATAAACACTGGTATATATGGTTTTAATGGGTCGTTGTTATATTGTATCTAAGATACATTTTAAAATGTATAAAAAAGACATATTCAGAAGAAAGTAACTAAAAATTGTCTTCAAGTTGGATTTGAACCTACAATATAAATAATAGTCTGATTATATATATATATATATATATGATTCTCTAATGCTAAAATGTCAGAGATTGAGCATTATTTGCCGATAAGAATTGCATACCTACATAATTAAGTAAATTTCGCTGTTGAGGTTTGAATTTTTGTATTAACAGATTGAGGGGTGTTAAAAAAATTTCATATTTGTTCTTTATGTTTATCGTCTGCTCCATAACGTTATTTATGGCTAATCAATATGAAAGTTGATAACTATATGGGTTAATTAATCTGTTTGTTTTTGTGTTTTATAAGGTTCTGAGCAATGCATTGTACAAGAGTGTGGAGCACAGAGTGATAGTAAATTCAGATAAAGAGAGAGTTTCCTTAGCCTTTTTCTACAATCCCAAAAGTGATATACCAATAGAGCCAATAAAAGAGCTTGTAACACAGGATAGGCCTGCACTCTATCCCTCAATGACCTTCGATGAATACAGGCTCTTCATTAGAATGAGAGGACCTCGTGGCAAATCTCAAGTTGAATCTTTGAAGTCTCCAAGATGATGATCATCAATATTGCTCAAGAGATCAATTTCTTGCTTACATGCATTCCAAGTCCATTTCAAACACTACCTCACATCGATATACATGCATATAGTTAATTGTAATTTGTAAATCTTGTAATCAGATCGGGATGTGTTTTCACAAAATTGCAATTGAGCCATAGAGGGTAAGATATAGAGATTGGATATGTAGATATGAAATTGGTTGGAAAAGCTTTCTTCTTTGGTCTCTAGTGGTGGCTAATTTTGATGGGCCACCCCAATATTCTTCCAAGTTGTGTAATTAAATAATTCTGTGGTTATTATGTCCCGACTTTCCCACCCATGATTGATGATTGTGTTCATAATTTGTACACTAATTTTATTACAGTAGACTCTAGATATCATCATCCCTACCATATTAAATATAGACTGCTTGATAAAGACCCATGTCAAATCCATATTGTATTACGAAAGTAATTATTGAATTCCACTCCTTTTCTTTGCCAATTGTTTATTGCTATTAAGGCACATTTTCTTTAACTTTTAATTCATTTTTCTAGCAAATTGCAATGCCATATGTGAGCACTAATTATACTTGGTTCAATGGATATGAACGTTCTATATTTATTTTTTCCGTCCAATTACTTTTCTTAATAAAGTAAAGGCATTATTTGTTGGTCTCTAACCATGCTTTTAATCATGTTGTCTCGTAGTTAAAAAATTATAACTAGTTCATTGAATAGAATTGTTCGATTAATATAGATGTACATCTAGTTAAAATGTCTTAAATAATTAAAAATAAATTATAAAATTTATTTTATATGGATGTAAATTATTAACCGATTAATAGTAAAAAATAAAATGAAAATGAACTTTTAATCAATCAATTACTACCTAAAATAATTAATTATTTATTAAATTTCTAAAGCTTCATTTATTTTTTTATTTATCGAATAATTATATTAATTTATATTATTACAATATTTTTCTAAAAATTTACTTTAATTATTAAGTCTCACTTAAACGTTAATGAATCATTTTCCATTAGATTAATCAACAATCATTGTCAAGCAGTGCATGTTGACTAAGTATTATTATATATTTGATCCTTTGATAAATGATATGAATGCCGACATGTTGATGTCACCATTCACTTCAAAACAAAAATGTTCCAAAGCTGATTTTTCAAAGAAAACAGATAAATATAAGGTTTTAAAAATTATTAAACACTCTAAACTATCACGTGCTCATTTGAAACTATGAGAAACTAATATAAAATCCTTTATTTTTATTTGATCTTTCTTAGGTTACGTATATCATAGTTTTGTTTGTTTGAAACTTTGAATATGGCGATCTGTTAGATATCAGCATCATATTATAAACATATTCTTGCAGGTGGAATCAGTTAGTTGATGACAACGTTTGGTTTTTAATTTGGACCACTTATAGTAATTATCTTATTAGAATTATATTAGTTTAATATAATTGGTATTTCTTATTTATAGATTTTTAATTAACTTTCTAATGTTTGAAAACAATTACAAACGTGTAAGTACAAATTAAAAATTATAATTTTATAGTTAAAAATACGAATTTATTAAAATGTTTTAGTGTAATATAATTTTAATATTAGAAGAAGAATACCCTACGGTTTTTGTTTTGCTTTCTTCTCAAATTGTCCTGCCGGTGAGTTGTATGAACCTTTTAGGGATAATAAAACGTGAAGTGGTTTTATTGAAGAACAAGCCTTTTATTGGAGAGTTAAAAATAAGATAAATATTAAGCACTTAATTAAGGAATCAAAAGCTAACAGTTTTTATTAAAAATTATTATAGTTTTATTATTTTTTAATATTCTCTTAATGTGACTTAAATTTCTATATACTCTTGGACAAACTCCTTCACGTGAATTCTAATAGCATGCCATAAAGAAACTATTTTATTAAAAAGTTTAGGATGAAGTAAGACTTTTCTTATTGAAAGATTAAATTAATTATAATGGAATTTTTAATTGCCATTAATTAATAGTTTTTAAATATAAAATTCAATTATGTCCCAGTCACAAGCAAAAGTACATTGAATGAGCACTCACTCTATTATCAAAATATGCAAAAACCTCAAAAAGATCTACAGGCAAGATTTTAGGCCAATAATTTATTGAGTCGTGTTATTATTTTTTTTCCATTTGTTTTAACATTTGATACAATCAATCATGAAAACAATAGAATCAAATGTCATGTTTTATTATTATTTTTGTAAAAAGGTTAAATTAAAATAATTTCTTATCAGTAGCAAAAAAAATAAAAAAATAAAAAAATTCTTATCAGTTGATTTGCATGTATTTAGTGATGTTTTACTTTATATTATAGGATAAAATTATATGATATTAGTCGTTTAACTTGATAAAATAAAAATTAAAAAAATATTTTTCTTAGAAATCACATGAATAATTAAAATGATACAAATATTATATAAGGTGTAATTTTCAACATAGTTTGCAATGATGGATGATTAGCTCTCGTGGGCCCAATATTGCTTTTACAGTGGGGACATCTGTGTCTACGACGCAAGAACAAGAAGTCAAACACCACGTGCAATAAATATGATAGAACCAAGTTTATTTTATCTATTAATTAATTGTTCAATATATTTATTTTTTTAAATGCAATCTAATCTATAAATTTATAAGGAGAACGCTTTTCAATATTTATTTATTCATTATTGAATAATATTAACAACACTTTCTAACACAATATTTTTATTATTAATTAAAAATTATAAAAGTAAAAAATATTAAATTAAAAGTAAGATTCATATAATTTTTAATAAATTTTAAATAAGAGTAAAAAGTATGTTCTCGTTTCTTATCTGTTAGGAGATAAAAAGTGAGAGATTGAAAAAAATTGAAGAAGAAAATAGAAAAAAAACTGTTTTAATTTTGTTCTTAACAAATAATTTTCAATCAAATAAAAATTATATATTATATTTTTTTTTGTTTTTATACTTCTTTTTAAGTAATTTTTACTGTATCTTATAAATTAAGAGAATATTTTATACATATTAAACATGTATAATAGATTGTAGAAATTAGTAATTTACTTAAAAAATGTAAATAATTTTTAATTTATAAAATATTAAAGAAATTGTATTCGTTAATTTAATCTAAAACGTCAAATCGTGTATTAGAAATGGAGAAACACAATTTTTAAAGTATTAAGCAAAAGTTTTATCAAGATTGGAGATTCAAGAGTTTTCAAGATACAAAATTGAAACCTTGATCATTAATTATGCATATATTTTGGTAACTCTCACCACTTGCTACACTGCAAAAAATACTAGAAATTGCTTAAAAGATATGTGGATCATGCAGTTTAATGGAACATGGATCATGATCCCACAACTGAAGACCAGTAAAGGGAGTGGGCCTCCAAGAAGCTAGAAATCCCTAATGGACCACCTCCTTGAGCCAGGTTTGGGTTCTAATCTTGTCCATGAAAAAAATAAAAACTCTACTAAAAAAGTTTATTTGAATAAAATTATTCAGAGACTTTGAGGATTTCATTTTATTAATAAACAAATTCTTTACTAGCCGAATCGGGGAATTACAACTTGGTTTGGTTAAAAGGATGTGATTCAATTCTTCAATATAATGGTTGAGTGGATAGCCCACCAACTATTCAAATTCCTTTTTTCTTTTTCTTTATATGCAAATGCGAAATTAACTTTTGTTTGAAAGGTTGAGTTTTTAGCCGTCGGATTCAATCATATTTACTGTTTTAGTAGCCATTCCCTTGCTAGAACATTTTTTTCAATATTCTCGTATTATAAACCCACTCACAGAGTATCAATGTATGTTCTTTTTTAAAGAACGTTAGTAACAGTTTTTTTTTAATACATTTCTGATTAATGGGTATAATCTATTAAAAATTACAGAAAATGATAGAAAATATTAATTTAAGAGTAAAAAAAGAGTGAGAACTACATAACTTTTGTAGTTTCAATACTCTTCTGTAATTATTTAACAGTTACATATAACTAATTTCTGCTTTATTATGAAAGAACCAGACGTAATTTAATACTAAAAGCTTGTTTAAAAAATAAGATTATTCAAGTTTTATACATATGTTTTATCCATGTTTTTAACTATATATGAAATCTTAACATATTTCGTTTAAAATAGTCCAGTTGTGTCATTAAAATCCTTACTAAATAATCTTTGTTACAGTGATGAACACTTGTGATTGCAAGAGTAGGTTTGCCCTAGTGTTCACAGTCAAAACAGATGTCATTATGATGGAAGGTTTGGAAAATCCCCCAAGGTCACATTCTCTCCTTGCCAAACAGAATCAATGTATGATAGTGATAAAATACATGTAGATATATAAGAAGTTATATTATTAAATCTGAAATAATTTTTCAATCGGCAGTTATAATCACACTTTATCCTCTAAAATATGCAATTTCATTTTAGAAGAATTAAATCCGCCAGTTTTACCTTATTTCAAACAAATAAATAGTTTCACCGTTGAAATGACATCTCATCCTTCTAATCATAGAACATAAAACACCTCTTATTTTTGGGCCGAAATAGATTCATCAGTACATGTATATTGTAACAACTTGAAAAAAAAAAAAAGCCAACAAAGAAGGCATTCGATTTAATATGCAAAGGATAATCACACAAAGCACTAACTGCAGATTACATATTATACACAATTAAAACCTAGAGAAAGAAACCAAACAAAATAATAGGATTAAAGGCTAAATTAGTTTTACTATATGCTACAGCTAAATTATACATCCGCATAGAAAAGACAACATTTGCTGGTTGGAATTCAGTCTAAAATTATCCTTGGGGGAAGGTGTACACAAGGAGTTTGCTCTGGACATGTAGTAAGTTTCACAATAGAACTAGCAGAGACGTTGTACCTTCTCTGTATTTCAGTAAACCCTTCACAAAGAACTTGCTCCACCCAGTTCTCCACCTCCTTATCCCTCTCTGAGACATATTGTGCTGCAAGCAATTGGTCCATGACTTCTGTCTGGATCTGCAAGGCACACTCGAGTCCAAGAATTTTGTTGAAGTTACTTTTGATCAGTTTCAAAATTCTACCCGCAAGTGCATCAAAATCATAAGGTTTAAAAACAGCTGTATCATGAACCAGATCACACAAAACTTGTAACCAAAGATTTTGGTTCTCTGTTGCGACATGTCCAGAGTTTCCATCATTTGGTTGTTTCAGTTCATTCTCTTCAGCTGGAAGATTCAAATCTAAAAGCCAATTTGACGTTGTATGTGCCCTTTTAGCCGTATCAGAGAGTAAATGTGGGTCATGAAATTCATTATCACCAATCAACTTTCGTTTGGTTAGGAAAATTTGATTAGGAATGGAGTCTATTGAACTGTTAGCTACACTGATGCTTTGGCTTCTAGTGTCTCCATTCACTTGTTCAACCTTTATCTTGATACCTCCCCCCGTTGCCCTCAGTATTCTTTCCTCAGAGTAGTTGGAAGGTTCCCCTGTTAGCATCGAACTATTTTGGTATTCCAAGAAAGAAAAAACAAACATTGCGTTGTTTACACTAACTTCTCGTCCATGTGAGTCTGTAATTTTTCCTGTCTTGATGGCTTGAGACAAGCTATTTTGAGCTACAATATCTGCCTTGTCTACATTTTCAAGGAAAACTACAGACAAGGGTTTCTTGCAACACTCCCCTACGATAAAATCAAGAGTAGTCTTCCCTCTGAATTTCACATTGCATCTTTTCATTTCTTCAGAACTTAGATTCACAAAAATAAAGTTTTCCCGGCTCCCATACAATAACTCAGCCAAAGAAACGGCAACTTTCTTTTTACCGAGCCTATCAGGTCCCACAAAATTCATCCGTATGATCCCTGGCTGATTTGCTCCACGGTGTGTAACCCCTTTTGTTGGGCTGCAGACTATTGTCTTGACGATAGCCCGTAAGGCTTCATCTTGCCAGCTTACATCCTTGGAAAGAGCTTCAAAAAGAATTTTGGGATTTCTTGCATCAACTTGTCCACAATAGTCAAAACTCAAGCAGGATGAAGATTCCGATGGATGCTTGAAGATATTCCCATCAACCAAATTAAAGTTTGAAGAAAATCTACTGGGGATTTCCTTTGGAGGCTCCATTGAGTATTGAGCAGTTGGTTTCTTTGATCTATTGCTGGTAGGAGAACAGCATATTCCTAACCCAAGATCTGTGGTTACAGAAGTTACAGATGTGGGAGACATTTCACTACCATCACACACACTTGAATTGGACATGTTGCATGATCTTAGGTCACCTGATTCGTGATCTTCCATTTTCTGGAACATATCAGCAAGTTTTGAACTACGTTTCCCCTGCTTGGCTTGGAAAACTGCAGGAAAAGGACTGCTTGATTGTGACGTAGACATCATTTTCATGCCAATGGGTACATGCGAGTTGAGATTAATGTATTCACTAGGTGATTTGTCTGTAATTTTGCTGCTGCAGTTTTCGGCATCTTCCTTTTTATTGTCAGCAACACAATGAAACCCCAAAACAGTTGGACAAGTATTTGCATCAGGGATTCGCTGGTGCAGATGCTGGCACATCTTGCCCAAGTTCTTAGGCGGGAGCCCAGACTCACCACTATCCAGCAAAACACCATTATCTTTGGTCTGCACTGAATGAAAGAAAAGTGATTTTTACACAAACAAAATGAAAAGGACTTCATCCAAAGTATAAATCAACTGCAAATGATTTCCTAAACAATCAACAGAATTAAAGTAACATTCACAAATGATCCGCATGGATGTCTTGTAGGACACAGGTAGGCTTTGGATGTTATAATTTACCAACTACTAATACAAAATGAGAAAATAGTATATAATAAAATAAAACAAGGTTACAGATGCTAATGTGAGCCATTTGATTTTCTAGGCACACTTAGTAAAGACAGAATTTGAAATTTGTACCAACACAGAGCAACTTGCTTAGTATCTTTTCCAGTTTCCTGTGCAAATTACTATCAATCCCCAAAAACGTACGAAGAAATATATAAAGTCATGGATCTGTAAATATTTTAAACATTTGCACATGAAATGCTTTAAAAAAAATTTGCTTATCACAACACTAGAGTAAAATTGTTTTTGCTCATATAATTTGTCATATTGCACCATTGAAACAAAAACCAAAGGTTCAATTTTTATTGATCTGCTGTTAGACCTCACATGCGAAGATAAATAAAAAGGGTTCACAAAATTTTTTAAAGCCTTTGACACATTAAATCTAAGCAAATGTTACTGGACTGACCAAATATTTTAGACAAAGAAAAGTTTATTTCATGAACTGCATAAACTTGGTTTTTACTACAATTGCGCACAGGCATGTTTTAGTGGGAAAAAGTAGTTTGAAAATCAAGAATCACAGTACACATAGGTCCATTTCCCCAATCAAACTTGCCCATAATTTTTTTCCCCTGGTCATAGCTTGACCTAAACTCCAGTTTGTTTCAATATTCTCCATTTTGGGGTTGGCAAATGATTACACTCATTTTTTTTTTAACATTTACAGCTTACACAAACAAATTTATACTGAATTGATGTATGATGTATCTGAATGCTACACACCTTAACATTCAATCCTTTTGCTGTGCCTAATTCAGCAATCTGCAACCACGGAGGCATGTTAGATTGACACAGATCGGCAGCTGAAGCAGAAAATCTTTCCTTTGCAGCAGTAAGGACTTCATGCTCACACCTTTCACCACACTGATGACAGTTGGGAACACAATAAAATGAGCCATTTAGTGGACCTTTTAAATCAGACTGTGATGAAAAAAAGCCACCAAATGGTACAAATGAATCCATTAAGCTGTAAAACAAAAAAATATATAGTTCAGAGAACACACGTGCAAAACCTATACTATGTGAAAGATGCAGAGTTCACATCCATTTGTTATTCAAAGTAACAATAAAATCATCGCTATAGCATCACTTCCTTTTTGCACAGAACAACCTAACTATGTGCTTTAAAATGCCAGCAAGTTAATTACCAGAAGACAAGATACCAGTACCTTTGATAGCAGCAAAGACCATAATTTAATGGAATCACAATTTAAATGGTTGCCATCAAACTCAAGTTACAAAGCAAAGCGAAAATTGAACGAGGAACCATTAGAGAGGCTGTTTCTTCATATCAATACGAACAATATTTCGAAAGAGAAATCATATTAGAAACGGAAATATTAAAATCCAGCATATGATACATGGGTTGTATAGATACTAATACCAGTTCTACAAAATTTCTAAAACCAAGGCTAGGGTACTAGAGAGTACATCATACAAAAATATACAAACATAAACAACAAGCTATTAAAATTATAATTATCATAATATAAACGCAAGTTTCGTGATGTTCTGACTCTATTAAGCGAAAAAATTTAAAGGAGGACAAGTTTCGAAGGGAGTGAGTTTCATTTAGTAACAAACCAAACAATTTAGGAAAAAAAACACTGTAGTATGATGTTAGGCATGAACTAACTTGAATTTGAATGATACTTTATTGGTTTAATTAGACGAACAAATACAGCCGCGTGTAATAGAAAAATCCACAGCCTTCACATACAAAACTCACGAAGAACACAAACTATAAGGGCACAACCCCAGCCCCAACCCCAACCCCAACCCCAACCCCAAACAACGATAAACTTGTATAAACGTTAGTTAACTACAGAACCAAAAAGCATTTAATTCAAATTACCCAGATTTCAACCATGAAGAAAACAAACATGCTCTCTCTCTCTCTCTCTCTCTCACACACACACACACACCCCCCCACACCCACACCCACACCCACACCCACACCCACACCCACACACACACACACACACACACAAACTACACCGCCCCAGCTTCAAATTTCAATATATAATAAAAAAATAATAAACATATACGACACCAAAGTTCAGAAAATGGATTTATTTTTCTTATAAAAAAATGGAAGTTGACAATTATAATATTTAAAAGCAAGAGGCAGAAACATGGTAGATATTGTTATAAACAAGGAGCATGCATGGATTTACCTGGACCTGGGTCTCGGATACGATTCAGAAGACCTAACAGAGGTGATAGGCAGAATCTGCAAATCCCAATCTTTCTCTATAGAAGGAAACCTGCCCACAAACTTCAAATAGCTCTCATAGCTAGCTGCAGCACCGATCAACCAAAACTTATCATAATGAACCTCCAACAACTTCCCCAATTCCCCAATCACACACTTCATAACACCATCATCACCATCACCATCACCACCCTCTCTCACAAACCCCTTCAACTCCCCCAAACTCACCACCACACCAGGCCCCACACAGTGCTCCGCCATTCGCCCAATCTCCTTCACCCTCGAACCCACAACCTCAACATCACCACTCTCCACCTCCTTCCCAATACAAGCCACGCGCAACCCCGAAAGCTCCAACGGCAAAACCCCCTCCCTCCGTTTCTCTACCGCCTCAGTAAACCTTCGCAGCGCATCACTCGCGCACGCTCCGAGAAGTAGCGGATTCCTCCCCCTACTTCGAACCAAAAGCTCCCCAATCCTCCTGAAATTCTCGCCGTCATCCTCATCGCCGAAGTTCGAAAAAAACGGAAACCGGCGCGGCGGCTCCGACAAGTTACAAAGAAAAATCGGCGGGCCGCGGGAACGGAACATGTGAGGCAGAGGACGAAGAATAGCAAGCTTAATATCGGAGCTCCGAAAACCCGCTTCAGCGAAAACCCGACTCACCACCGGGTCATCGAGAATCGATAGAATCAAGTGCTGAAGCTCAACCTTAACAGAAGAAACAGAAAACGGTTGCTGCTGCTGTTGCTGTTGGTTTTGGTGATAGAAGTGGAAGTTATCAGGGTGACGCCGTTGATTAGCCTGAGACCGTTTAATCGCAGCCATGAGAGAGTTCGAAACGGGAGGGTCATGCTCAGATGAAACGTGGCTGTGAGAAGACGGAGCACGGTCAAGCGAAACCGAGAGACAAAGGTCAAGTGCTTTAAACTGAAGCCGCGGAGAATACGCCGAGTTTCGCGCGCGGGAACACGCGTCGCGGAGAATCGACGACGACGGTAGCGAGAGAAGAGCTGAAACGGCGTGAAGCGATGTCGTTTGCGCGTGACCGCGACGCCGCGCAACCGTAACTGCCTCGTCGAGGGCACGCGCGGCCTCCGTTGTTAAGCATTGTCTGGCGACTCCGACGGGCGTTGGCATTTGATGAAACGGTGCGTGGTATTGAGCGATTCGAATTTGGTTTATTAAACATAAACTAAACGATATGAGAGAATTGAATTTATTGGAAAGTGGGGACTGGTAAATTTGGAATTTGGAGTGGCTGTATAAATATTGAAAGGGAAGAGTGGGAATTAAAATGGCGGGGCCTATAGAAGATTGTGAGTGAGTGAGTGATGATCAATGCGCACATATTCTTTTTCCCTTTCTCTCTATTCATTTGGGTATGGTTTGTATATTAGAATTTATAATTTAGAAATCAGAAATTGGAATTGATTTGAGATTTTTATTTCAGAGATGTTTTTGAAATTGGAGTTGAGTTGAGTTGAGTTGAGTATCAAAATGTCTCCCTCGGTCGTCCTCTTCATCATCATGTTTATGGTTGCTTTTCTTTTCTCTCTGAGAGAGAGAGAGAGAGAGAGAGATGCTGCCTCCACTTACTTTAGCCTGTCCCACCACCCACCCTCACCTTCATTATCTTCTTACCTGTAACTCTTTTTTTTTCACTCAAATGTCTTCATTTTTAGCTTCTTAACTCATCCACATCAAATGTGACCATGATATAATAAAAATAATAAAGGATTCATTCGATACATAAAATATAAAATGTAATCAAAATATATTAGTATAATTTATCGTTATTATATCTTACATTTTATGCTGATTAAGATAACAAATTTAATAATACTATATCATTTTATTTTTGAATTAAATTCTTCTCACATAATAAAATTTACATTTAAAATAAATAAAATAATCGTATATAATAATATTTTATTGATTAAATAGAAACAACAACAAATTATAAGATACGAAAATCATTCTACCATATATGTTTTTTCATCTTTGTCTATTAAATAAACTTTAAAGATATTAATTATGAAATTAATAAAAAATTATTTAAAATTATACTTAAGATACATTAACATCATGATAAAATTATATTTTAATGTATATATTTTTTATTTATAGATCATGCCCATAAAATATTAGTTGGTATTTACTTAAAACAAGTTACAGTGAAAGAGGACTAAAATTAGTAGTCCATTTATTCGGTATTATTTTTATCACAAAGTAAAATCACATGCCACAAGTTAGGGCTAGGTTTGGTTCAGATAGTCGTATATATAGTGTATGCTTGATTTAATTTTCTTAAAAAATAATTGTATATTCTTTATCAGCTTCTTTGAAAAAAATGAAAATATTTTTTCAAAATTAATCCCAACCAAAACATGCAATTAGATTTATTGAAATTGAAAATGACATTAATCTTTATTTTGTTGCTTTTTGTTTCTACTACTTTCCTTATATCAAAAGAGAAGAAAAATCCTCCAATATCACGTTAAGTAATCAACACTTAGAAAGTAATAATTGTACTAGCTAGTATATAAGTTTATTTTCTTAATTAGGGTTGAATGTATAAAACTCTTTGATGATCAGCAGCTATTCATTTATGGGATTGAAGACATGTCCTCGTGGTATTGACTGAGCGTCATCCTCCATTATTCATGAGTCACGTACATCTTCAGTTAGGAATGCATAACATTTTAGTGCTTGCAATAGTCTGCAAAATGGACTACTCATCATGCAAACAAAAATTGATGAATATTTGATTGTTTGCATCAATTTGGACGTAAAAATCATCCACCGTTTGTTGTGGCCATGAAAATATAATTGTCTAACACCTATTTTATTGACGATTTGTGGTTTAGTGTACACCATTTAATAATGCATTTTACTCTGGCAATTTTCATTAGTTTTCTTGGTGTTCTATATCTATTTCACTTGCCGTGAAAACTTGTTCGTAAACATGTAAAATTTGTGGAGGGACTAGTCATAATCCTAATGAGTGCATCTAAGAATTTGTATCACCTTGATATCTTAAGAGTGGTGATCAAATAAATCCATCATTTTAGCATTGGGATACTTTTTTTTTACTACTGCCCACTTGGTTACCATTTGCGTTTACTTAGAGATAATGGGGATTTTTTTTATGTGAAAGTGCATCATGAATTCAACCCATAGCCCAAAGAACAAATATTTTTTTAATCTAACAGTTGATTTTATTATTACCCACTAATCGTTGTTTCTTAATGCCAAAAGTCAAATTAACCTTTTTGTTTATAAAAATGCTTAGAGTTAGACGAAACGTATTTTTATTCTAAAACTATGACGATTTTATTTATTTAGGCAATATACTTTTGATTTTTATTAAATAACTAATTCTCCAATTTTACTCGTATGTAACTAATCATGCGTGTTCTTAAATTGATATGATTTTTCTTTTGTATCATTAAAAAATAATATAATTTATCACTTTTAATAGTAATTTATATTGATATTTTATATCCCTTATTAATTAGAAAATCCTAAGTTAAAATTAAAATTAAAACCGTTTAATTATTGATTAAAAAATCCTTATGTGCGTCAATTCTAATCAGTTTTATTATTGGCCGTTAAAAATTAACTCTTTTAAAATAAAAATTGCGTAAATTAAATAATTGAGAGTTCGTAAATTATTTATAAATATAATTAATTATAAATTAAAGTTAAATAAATTTTCACTTTATATTTTATATATTGTTGATTTAAACAAATTAAAGAGTAAAATCTGAACTGTAACATCTCATCCGTTCATGTATAAAAAAAGAAGCACACATGTTTCCTCCTTTGTTTTGTGTTTTTTTCTTGACTTCAACACAGGGCAACCCATCTGAGAGTGCTCCCAAACTATAGAAAATGAAACAATAGAGTCAAATGCTAGCTTTCATACCACCGGTCAAGGGTCCAAGTCAATGAGTAACTTTTGAGAGTGGAGAGAGTAAAGAATGAAAGGGAAGGGGAGAAAAGCAATTCTAATGGTTTCCATATGAATTTCATTACGCAAAAACTCACTTTTAATCACACCCTAAAGTGATACATACATAAATACTTTAAAAATATACAAAATAATAATAGTTTTATGGCAAGTTTTCATAATATTATTTTCTATTTCTTTTCAATCCATGTTACTCTTCATTTTTCTAACGTAAACATTTAAAAAATGTTAATCTTAACCCTTAATTTGAATGGGTTATTGATGCTAAAAATTGAAAAGAAAAAGAGAAAGGGTTGAGGGAAAGAACCCTATAACCACCACCGCACATATATCATTCATGAGCGCAATATTGGCAGGGTATGACAGCATTGCTTTTGAACGTGGCCTGAAGAAGCATCCCCCATCAGTGTCACGTTACTTTTTACATTTCTTTCCCACTTTCTCTCTCTTACCCCACTCCAAACACAGAGAGAGAAAGGTGAAAAAGCTATGGATTTGACGTCTTAATTTGTTGTTACCTTGTGTGTTCGCTTTTGCCAACGTTTTCAATTGCTTTTCTTTTCCTTCTTTCTTCCTTTTTCCCCCTTTCTTTCCTAACTCCAAAATACCAAACAGCCTTTCTAGTTTGGGGACCTCCTCCTCTATACAATTATAGACATCAACTTCTCAGTGCCCTCAACCCTACCCTTCCATTCCTCACACTTTCTTATCCCCGTTGACTCCATTCTTGTTCAATTTCATCCCCAGTTCATTCCAACAAATGTTGCATTACATCAAACTATGCTACTTCTTTGTTTCTTGAAAGGTGCCATTACGTTTAAAAGATTTTAAAAACTAATAAAATGTTTAAATTACACCCTCTTTCAAATGAAAGATTTAATTATGATGGTGATATCAATGATTGTAAACTCCATTTGAATCAAATAAACACATGTAACGCAAATCAATCCTGGTGAATGTTGTTTGTCTTTTTCTTTTCCTTTTCGCACATGTCCACGGAAGATTAATTGAGCAAGAGGTGCATGCATGTTTAAAGAATTACAAAATATATGTGAAGATACAGCTAATAATGTTAAATCAGACGAGAGAAATTACGATGGGATTGACACCAATCAATTGAAATATTGAGCTTGAGAGAGAAAGGAGATCAGCAGCATAGGATTCGCAGGACAGTGTTTGATAATGAGAGGGAGTTTGATTTCAAAAAGAACAACATATTATATGAAGACAAACCAAAAGATCCAAGTGTCATCCCTCAAAACGAGATGTTGAGGGGGCAGAACCGTATCAATGGTTTACCAAGACATGATCCATTTTCTTCTACATTTACTGATTATTTTTCTTTTGTTCTAACCAACAAATAAGTGATTGATAAGTGTATATGTAATATTATATAATTAATTATATTCTTTATTTTATATAATTTTTACATACACATGCATACATCTTTAAAATATTCTCCAAAATCAAATGAGACGATAAAGTTGTCTGACTTTGATGTATAAAAATAACATTTTCTCCCTTCTAATTAATCATTTTCTCGTTGAACCGAGTATCAAAGTTTTGTTATTGGAAGATATGTCTCATATAAAAGTGGGGTGTTAATTTAAACTAAAACTTATTATGAAACCTTGTATAATGAAGTGCGATTCTGATCTTGCTGCAAATCGAAACATTGTTGAAATGTTGTGAGTTGCTTTAGGTTAAGTGGCTGGTAAAGGCACTGCAATGTGTATGCAAATAATTGTATGGTAGTAACATGAATTGTCATTTTCACATATGGCATCAACATTGATATATAATGTTGTTGGCAGACATGTGTACCCACGAAAATTTTAGAGCTATTTAGGCTTTTTTCACTACATAAATGCTTATTAGTATGATTTTTTCCTCACAAAACACTGTACGAAAATTGATTGCTTGATTCCTGTCAAATTCCATTATTTTTTTTTTCATTTTTTGGGTTACATTTATCCAATAGAATTTAAACATGTGGGGTGCATGAGGATTTCCTACAGAAAGTTTCGTATTATTTAGCAATACATTTTTTATTAATATATTTTATTATTTTTTAAAAATACTATAACTACTGATTGATTAACTTAGTCTTCAATGTTATAAAAAAAAAATTAAATCATGTTATTGACGCTTACAAGTATCAATTGAGTTAGTTCATAAAATTAGCATCATTAGTTAATTTAATTTTTAAAATTATAAAATTAGTTAGTTTAATTCTTAAATTTGATAAGCATTACAACTCAGTTCCCAAACTTAACCACCATTAATCGGTTCATTCTTTAACGATATGAATCAAATTACTTGATTTATGCAGAACGAAATTAAAGACTATATTAATTTATGTCTACCAATATTAAGGATCAAAATTATTAATAAAT